AGTGATATTTTAGTATTAACCAAATAATGTATATCCAATACCCAATTGACAGAGAGGTTATATAGAAAAAAGAAGATATTGTATGATTGTCAATGATGCCACCCTCCGCAACAGACCAAATGACATAGACATTAACATCTATAGTTCATCGTACGGCTTCAACAATGAAAAAAACACATACCGATTGGTCAGCTATAAATGATAACGAAATGACAAAATAATGTAAAACAATTCAAACGATAAAATTAACGGACTGATTGATGAACAAAATAATATACGAAAAAAAAGTGATATATAGCAACAAACGACAACCACTGAATTACAGGCTTGGGGGAGTCACATTCAGCATGTGGAGGGGTTAAACTATATAGATGGCGCCAAACTCTCTCCTTAACCTGGGACAATGACTTTATACGTTATGTCTATATATATATATGTGTGTCAGTTGCTTGTCGCATTTGAGTTAAAATATCCTTTTCGTATCTCCAGCCTCTCTTTTCAAATTAAAATGTCGAACGTGTTAATCTAAGCCACTCTTTGTAAGTGCCTATCCCCATCAAGGAACCTTATTCCATGTTTCTATCGTTTTTCGCTGTCTCATATACTTGTTTTTCGTTCAGTGGTGTAATATAAATAGATAGTTGGTTCTTTTTTAAAATTGAACACATTTTCTTAATCTAGTCATTTTGAGGAAGCATCTACCTTATTGGTGAAAGCTTTACGGTGACTTATATGATAGTTCAAGTCGTTCACGCTTGGTCTGTAGAAATTGCCTAAACGGACATTTACATGTTAAAGTTTCCGCTACTATACAAATTCGGACATTAAACATTTATATGAGCAGAAATCTTATAAATTATCCAAAATAATTGGAAATATTAGCATTCGACTACTAAGAAATGTAGGCATTAAAATTTAAGTTGGGTTTCGACGTACGTTTCACTAACATTCATTTTCCTTCTAATTTTATTGATAGATGTTAACACTTTTGATGCGGTATTATCTATTTCCCTTTTTAGAACAAAACCAATTAGTACGTTACAATCTGTGTATCAGAAGGCTGTTCCACCACATAATGATATATGTCACGTGTTTAACACTTTTTTGTAAACAAACACAGTTAGAACTTTACAATCTGTTTATCAGAAAGTTGTTTTCCCTCGTTCTGTTAGCTTCCTTAAACTACTGCTTGAAAGAATACACAAAATAGCCCGAGAAAAAGCAACGAATGTATCCACAGGCCAGCAATGCACATTTGTTAAGGTTTAAAATGTATTTGATCGCGTAATCGTCGATTGGCATTTAACCATTTCCTAAACGTTAAGATTACAACCTATACCTAGTTCTTCACAATATAGAAAATAGATGCTCGTTTGAATTAATATTAACGTGTCCATCTCAAATATGACTACATAATATATAACTTTAATAAAAATCCATTTTTATCATACCAATTTTTCAAGGATACATTGATCATGTTGATTGTACGTTTAATTTTCCAATTGTAAGCATCCAATTCTTCTTAACTGTAAACAAAGTAAAATTCAATTGATATCAAAACCCTTCTTTAGCCTGACTTATGCTGTCAATTAAAACATATGTTTCCCTAAAAAGACCTTAGTGGATCCCGATGTTTACAAAACATGTGCTTATATAACAGGCAAGGTATGTTGTTCCATTTCAATTTTATACAATTTCTTTTTCAAAAGCAATTTCATACAATATTTTTATTTTTTAAAAGAAAATTTCAACAAGGGTTAAATAAACATAAATGTATTCAAACGATGATCGATGTTTTAGATGTTGACAAACTGTTTAGGTAAATAAATACTAATTCGGACATTGTCTAGAAGAAGTACATATTTTAACCAAACAGTCACTTTTAAGAGTAGAAATATATTTGGGTAATTTTGGTATCGACTTAAAGTTAAGGAGTCACTAAAGTCACTATATAATTATTGTTCAATGTCTTTATTTGCTAATAAACCATTTATTGTATATATCTAAAACTGAAATAGAAGGGTATATCTGTGAATTCTCGAAATTGTTGAATATCACACGGGGCTATGAATTAGTGGTTTTATCCTTTATATCCCTTAGCATTGTATAGGACATTCTGAAGATCTGGTTTTTTTGTTCTTACGTTATGCTGCTCACTTGGTGTTCAAGTGACGTGAAGCCCGTAATTTGTTGTTTTGTTATAACTCTATTTAGTTTTGGTCAAATTAATCAAGCAATGCATTCGTGGTGATCATATGGATATAAATGGGCTAAGGAAAAGTAGAAACATAATGGTCTCTTCAGTGATGATCGGAACCAAATATTTGAAAATATAAAGCATGTTAAAAATATGAAGAGCTAATCAACCAAAAATGACAAATAAGTATAACCAAATTCTGGAAAGGAATCAGAGCTCTTCCTGAGGGAGATATATTCTTTAATTTAATATGATTTTCAAATTTTGTAACGGCAAATTCAATAACACAAAATCCGTATTTTCATGACAGTACCAAAGTCCGGGCTACCGAGCTGTAGATACCATCAGGGATTAACAGTCCACCAGCAAAGGCATCGAACTAGTGGTAGTAATAACATAAATAGTACCAATTTTTCTGCATCAGATGCGTATTTCGACAATAAATGTATAAGCATGGATGTAATACCCTGCTATTGTCTAAGACACCAACCAAACAGACGGATGAGGTTGAACTGCATATTAAAAAAACTAGTTAAGTCTCCCAAACGAAGTTTGGGAAGACTTATTGTTTTTGCTCAGTTCTTATTATTATTATTATTATTCTTCCTCTTCCTCTTCCTCTTCCGCCGCTTTTAAATTTGAACTTGTCCGCACCTGTTCTCCAAAACCGCTTGTCAGATTAACTTAGGGTTTCACAATATGTTAGACTAACATGTCTAGTGGTGCAATCAGGGTTTTGTTTGTGCAATGGGGTTTATAAAGGGGTTCTTTGAGGGGCAAAAAGAAAAGAGGGTTTTACTATAGAACCCTATGGGATTTTATTTTTTAAAATTTTCAAATGATTATAAATTGAAAACCGTTTGTGATAGACACAATCTTTTTAATTGAAAATGTTCTAAATGATAAAACCCATTAAATGAAATACAGGGTTAGTTCCCAGGGGTCATCCCCACCCCCTGCCATTTAAGAAAGTTCTAATATCTTGTAAATGGTCAAGATCCCCACCCCTAAACCATATATATTCTGGTTTGTCATGATAAAGCACATGAAATGAAATACAGGGTTAGTCCCCAGGGGTCACCCCCACCCCATGCCATTTAAGAAAGTTCTTATATCTTGTAAGTGGTCAAGATCCCCACCCCTAAACCATATATATTCTGGTTTGTCATGCTAAGATGGTTTGAATGATATATAGGGTTAGTCCCTAGGGGTCATCCCGACCCCCTGCCATTTGAGAAAGTTCTAATATCTTGAAAATGGTCGAGATCCCCACCCCTAAACCATATATATTCTGGTTTGTCATGATAAAGCGAATCAAATGAAATACAGGGTTAGTCCCCAGGGGTCACCCCCACCCTATGCCATTTAAGAAAGTTCTAATATCTTGTAAGTGGTCAAGATCCCCACCCCTAAACCATATATATTCTGGTTTGTCATGCTAAGATGGTTTGAATGATATACAGGGTTAGTCCCCAGGGGTCATCCCGACCCCCTGCCATTTGAGAAAGTTCTAATATCTTGTAAATGGGCGAGATCCCCACCCCTAAACCATATATATTCTGGTTTGTCATGATAAAGCACATGAAATGAAATACAGGGTTAGTCCCCAGGGGTCACCCCCACCCCATGCCATTTAAGTAAATTCTAATATCTTGTAAGTGGTCAAGATCCCCACCCCTAAACCATATAAATTCTGGTTTGTCATGCTAAGATGGTTTGAATGATATACAGGGTTAGTCCCTAGGGGTCATCCCGACCCCCTGCCATTTGAGAAAGTTCTAATATCTTGTAAATGGTCGAGATCCCCACCCCTAAACCATATATATTCTGGTTTGTCATGATAAAGCACATGAAATGAAATACAGGGTTAGTCCCCAGGGGTCACCCCCACCCCATGCCATTTAAGAAAGTTCTAATATCTTGTAAGTGGTCAAGATCCCCACCCCTAAACCATATATATTCTGGTTTGTCATGCTAAGATGGTTTGAATGATATACAGGGTTAGTCCCCAGGCATCACTAATGCATATAACTTTACTGGACCAAACCAATTTTCACTGGACTTTGCCCAATGTCAGGCGACCCTGGGAATTACGAATTATGGGAGCTTCGTTTGGGAGACTTCGTAACAGCATCCTGTTACAATCATTTCTTGTTATATTTGATGTAGTTTGTTAAAATATATCTATGGTAGATATCTAAGTTCTCAAACAGGTCAATCAAAATTTCCAAATAATGCAATGATTCCGGCTCGAAGACTTACAACTGTTTGTGATCATGGAATTGGGCGTCACCTGACAACAATTGTTACCTTGTTAAGGCATATGGTCTAAATCAGTTCATACGATTACAATAACTATAATATTCTATTTAATAATTGTCAGCTTTTGTCATTGACTAAACACAATTAAAATCAACAACAGTTTACAACATTAAAATTCGAACAATAGTGATAAATTCCTAATAGACCGATTAATAACTTAAAGTTAAAATTCAATGTTATTTATGATTTCTATATTTAGATTCATGATGATCAAAAAGAATAGAGACGGAGTAAATGACGATGATGAAAATGTGTATGGAATGAAAAAAATTACATACTTGGAAAAATACGGGGTTAAACATTTTCCTTACCGTGGAAGGCGCAAATACACACCATTAATTAACATATCTGTGAACGGAGGAATGTTTATTTCAAACGATGTTTTCGGATTGACAATCAGTCAGTTTGAACGAATGTATAAAGATTGTCTACATAGACGAAAAATACATAAAGAGTATATACTAAACCTTAGATATCCTGACAAATCATCCAATGAATATCTAGAATACTTACAGAATTGTATAGACTGTAATGAAGGTAATAACTTTTTAATGACTTAAACATTTAAAAACAAAATAGACAATTACAGATGTGAACTAGATTCTGATGTAGCACAACTGGCAATCAAACATCATAAGCCAAGTGCCTTATAACTAAGTTGTTATCGTTTGTTGTTCTTAATCAGATTTGTTGTTTGTTTATTGTTTTGTAGAGGCCGTCGGTTGTCTCGTTTGAATTGTTTTACATTTGTCATTTCAGTTTCATTTTCAGCTAGCTATTCGCTATGAGTGCTGTTATTTATTGAATGCCATAGTTGCTAACATCTACGTAATTTGGTCTCTGGTGGACAATTTTGTTGTCTCATTAGCATTAATACCCTATCCTCAAATTTTTGTTCCTGGACAACGCAATGACTTCAACGCGATAAACAAGGAAAAAAAGTTCATAAAATAACCAGACTCAGAAACTCAAATCTAACCGGAAACAAGGGTACCATTAAGGTGCTTTGAAATGAAACCATTCCTTGAACTTCTATAGGCATTACTGCAAATAGGGTAGGAATATGATGCTCCAGAATATAACAGATCCTGTTCTACCATAAGTCATGTTGCTATTGGGGAAAACATAATCCAGTTATCAACAATCTATGACCAGTGGATTGTATTATCTCTTAATGAGATCAATAACGTCTGTAAAGACTTACAACTGTTTAATCCGTTTAAATGTCTTCCTTAAAAAAAAGAAATATATTTGTGAAAAAATGCTCAATATTGATATAAAATATATACAAAGATGTGTTATTAGGACAAATGCTTTTAAAATATTGATACATATACGGGTTCAAACATGTATAGTTTGAGTCACACGAATAACATTAAATGCCGTATAAATCTAGTCTTAGGGTTGAACCAAATCTTCAACAACGATGAACAATAACTTTTAAATTAGCGCGTGCAGAACGCTTTCCTGAATCTTTGTTGAGATAACCCCTAGTTTGAAGTGAATTTCTATAATTTTGATGAAGTGCAATCAGAAATGCAGAATACAGTTTCCACTATGAGCAGGTACAATGATATTATATTTGGTCGGGGACTGTTGAAACACGACATATTGCACTTGCATTGATTGTTGTGGTTTAAAAATATAACAAGAATTCAGATCAAGAAATTACAAAATATTGCATTAGTCTTTTTTATACTTTTGTATTTTTTGTATATGCACATCAAGTTAAAGATGAACAGCAAACTAACGATATATGTGTATTTGTCGCAATCAAAATCAAAACACCGTCGCGGATACAAACAAGTCATCAAAGTTTATGATTAAGAATATCCGGCGAGAGTGTCATCTAAATATTGCTACTGCTAAGTAGCATTCGAGTTAAAATAGTTGCAACGTCTAATAGATTGCTCTGTTAAAATGCATTCTTTGCCAAGCATTGAAAACCGCTTTACCATATCTTGCTTATGCAATGTATGCTCGTTGTAGTCAAACTTTTGTTTCGAATATTTTTAACATTTTATAACAATGACATTTACTACATATGACCGGCGATATTTTTCTTATCTTCAAGTTAATAAGTACAAGGCCGATGTAAAATGTCATTAACTATACTTGGTTTACCCTAGCCGCAATGTTCGTCTATTTGAAACATATCATGGGATATCATGTTATATGTACAGTCAGTATACTGTTTTATGATACATCAATAAAAAAATATATATCATTATCTCTGTTGTAGAACACGCTCCTTGGCCTGAAGATGAATTAAGACAAAAAGAATTATTCGATTTTTTAGTAAAGACAGTTGGTACTGAATTAGATATACGGACTAGACAAAGATTATTTATTATACAGGATATGATTTATAATGCAATAAATATAACACAAATATCGAGTGGAAGTTTGGCAGAAGGCCTAGATCTACCAGGAAGTGACATAGATATAATGTACGTACAAAATAAAATAGCTGTCGTACGGAATGTACGGAATACTAAATATGTCAAAACGAAAGTACAGGATTATAAACACCCGATGCAACATGCTATTCTTGTTATGGAGACAGATAAGGATCATTCTGGATTTACTAGACTGAGATTAATAGCCGCAGGGGATGAAGAAACTATCAATGTAACACCTGAATGTTTTGCAAATACTACACAAGGTTTATATTTATCAGTTAATGGATTTCTAAATGGTATAAAGGAAAAAACTCCACATCTTCACTATATATCACACGGCCCTTGTTTATCAATGACAGGTGAGATTGACGATAATTTATTCTGCTTACGAAGTAAATATTTACCTTACAACGCAATTCCATGGACAATGCGTTATCGAAGGCAATGGCCCTCTAATATCGTGATTGGCAAGATTAAAAAATACGGATGTTTGCTAGTACCTATAGGACCTAAGAATGTGTCAGATTCTGATATACTATGGAGATTGTCTTTCTCTATGGCAGAAAAACAACTTGTGCATTCGTTTAATTTTACCCAACTCTTGTGTTACGGTCTTCTAAAATTAACATTAAAGCGTATCGTTAACACAAACCTTGATATCAAAGATTTATTGTGTTCTTACTTTATGAAGACGGCTTTATTCTGGGTCTCAGAGGAAGTTGATATTGACACATTTCAAATACCTAATTTGTTTCGTTGTTTTGTCCTCTGCTTGAATAAATTAATATCATGGGTAAAAAACTGTTACTGTCCGAATTATTTCATACCTGACCACAACATGTTCCTAGAAAAGATCACGCCGGAAAACAATAAAATGCTACTACATGTACTGATCAGCATACAGTCTGACGGAATTGATAGATTGATGAGGAATTTATTTCCGCCTTACAATGGACATTATCTTTTATTAAATTCAAAGAGTGAATCTTCGTTCATCACGTTAGATTTCTTGTTTTACAGGATTTGTGGGTATTCGAATGAGACCAACATTGCACTGTGTTATAAAGTAATGACACTAACAGAATCTTTAATTAAGACCGAATCTTCTTCGTTCATTATTGATGTATGTAAACATGAATATGCTAGATTCAGTCAATTAACAGGACAACTTCTGCCATCACCAATTATAATAAACAAAATGTACAACATACACAAATATTATCATAAAAATTTACAAGACGGGATCAAGGCAGATGCTGTTTCTGGTTGGTTGTTATACGCATCGTTTTATTATGTCACAGGACAATACAATGTAACACTCAAACTGACAAATTATGTTCTATCAAGATGTTCACCTGATATGTTGCTTTTAGTGTTTTCCTATAGTGAAGAACGTATAAATAGTTATAGACAAAATGTACATTCCACATTGACATTATTTGAAAGAATGAACGTGGCCGCTGTAGGATGTGTTTTTTACTCGAAACACTCATCATTAATACTAGGAGAACTACAGCTGGAGGTGAATAAAATTGGCATTGATATACCGCCCATTGTAATGTCTCACTGCCTTAGATTTTTGTGTTATCATCATCTTGGTAATAATTTCAATAGACAACAGGCTTTATGTGATTTAAACTCAACAGTGAAAGAATACTGGGCTAAAGGATATACCAGATCATCTGATTTATTAACAATACTTGGAGTATGTATGCAGTTGTCAGGCGATAAGAAATTAGCGTTTGAGTGTTTTCAAAATGCGTTACAGTGTGATGTTATGATATGTCCTTCAGCAAAAATTAGGCTATCAAACCTTTTCGACGTGTAATATAAGTTTCATCGTAGTATCGACAAAGTCTTATCGAAATTTCACTATGAAACGGTTGTTCTTATAAATAATGACTTAATAGAAGAATTTATTGATAAATTGGATATCAATTATGTTCATGCTTTATATTGATGTACACTTTTCCATACTGTAACTTGATTATAATATATGCAATACATTCCCTGAATGATTCTTATTTATTGATTGGTTTGCTTACCACTGAAGCAGGAGATATTTAACCTGTCGACACGTCCGATTTTATTTCTTTTGGACTTCATGCGATTCCCTCAGTTGTTGGTCGTAATCTTGATTTTTCTTCTTAATCGTTTTATGAGATTTGAACATAGTTAACTACTGTTGCCTATATTTATCATAGAAAACACAAAAGTGTTTACATTTACGAAATAAATAGATATCCGGCGGTGTAATTGTTCATATAAATCTTTAATGGCTAAATGGTTGAACATTTTATTTTGTTCTTTAAAAGTAAACAATTTATGTGACCTGCCATGACAGTTCCAGGCTTGTGGAGGTATAACGTTATTGTGAGAAAAAACGCGGTTGACAATTAACGTTACGTCAAGTTATGTACGGGGACATACGAGTTTATTTCTATACTGAATTTAGAGTATGGATGCTTTTTAGAACCAAATATGAAATATCTTTTAAAGTTTTTGTTAACAACCAGGGGCGTTACTTAAACAAGTTATTTTTTTCATTACTTATATAGGTAATTTTCGTTTTAAAAAATTATGTAACGACTCAATCTTAAATTTAAAAACATTTATGCATTTTTACATCATTTTATTACCAAAAATTAAGAATTTATTAAATTTGGGGGGAGTATAGAAGTAATCGGTTACTTTAAAGGTAATGACAAAAATATTACTTGTATAAGTTATTTTATATATTTTTGGAAAAATTAGTGATTACAATTATTCAAGGAACTTATGTACTTGTTTTGGGTTACAAATTATAAATAACTTCAAGTCTTTATTAAATCACAAGTTTCCATCTATTTATATCTGTCTACCTTCAAGATTTTCAAGGAAAATGAAATTTTAATAGTCCCAAGAGACCAATCTTTGACCCTGAAGCGTCGATATGAAATGTAAGTGCGTCAGAAAGGCAATTAGTGTTTCAGGAGGATTAGTTTTTATATTTCATCGGAAAAATGACCTGATTTCTGTGGAAATTTGTTAAAACTAGTAAAATCTGTATGAATTGACACCTATAAAAATAAGTTATTTTTAAAATAGCCTCGTTTTCAACATAACTTGTATAGGTAGTTTTAAAAGTTACTTGTTTAAGTAATGCCCCTGACTGGCTAAAACAAATCATATTAATTGGTAACATGAAGCTTGGTACTTGTTTCATTTTTTACTTCATTACCGTCTTGAAAACGTGAAATTTTAGCAAATCATTTTTTTTTAGTCCGTTTTTTTTTTTGCAAAAGTACCTCTTCTTATTACCAATTATTCAATAACAACTGATATTACCATGATACTATTTAATAAAAAAAAATGTTCTACTGTTTGCGTATAACTTCTATTATTCTTAACGATTTAATATTACACCATTCATGTGTTATTTGTCGCTGGCGTAAATTGCTTATGTTAATCTTTTGCTCATCATAACCCTACCAGTGACATATTAAACTGGGATTGTCAGTTTTCCTACCAAAAGGTCGGTGGTTTTTCGCCAGGCATTCCTTCTTCCTCCATTAATGAAAACTGACCGCCACGGCCATCCCACATCTACTTTTTTATAACCATATCAGGACAATTACTATGTATATTACTTCACAGGAGGAACCACCTAGTAACTGTATAGATCGCAATTACAGATCTGACATCGAATCGCAGTTTTATGCTGTTTTTTTTTTCTTTTTGCATATCACAGGTTTAAGTTGTTTGCTAGGTTAGTGTATCTTTGAAAAACGATAACAGTAGATTTTAATATAATTAATCATATATCGTTTCATTCAGGCATTTGTAGTGTTTTAATGTTTACGTTCTTTTAGGTAAACTTATTTGATTTTATTCTTGACTGTTAAAATCTGAGATTTCTTCATTGAAGGATTAATCTTCTCTGGTTATTAAAACAAACTCATCAAAGATATCAAGTATGTAAGTTTGTTCGACAGAAGTAAACAAATATCATTATGAAACTGTTTAAATGAATATCGTGTCTGTCATGTGTTGCCTTGATTTATTATCTAACATTATTGTGTTGTTTTTTTTTTCGTTTCCAATTTTAAAAAAAGTATGCTTCTATCATTTAATTATAAACTATACTTTTATTAAAACATTTAGAAAATACAACATTCAACAACTATCCCATTGTGGGCTTTCTTGGAAATAAAATTGCGTTTATTGTTCACTTATTCTATCACTTTTTAGTTATAGTCCGCAAACATTAGTTTTCGACAGGTTTTAAAATATAGTATTTTATTCTGTTTTCTGTTACTGGAAAAGATGTTGAAGTAAATCTAAGGTCTTTGATCAAAACTAGTATTTTTTTGCTAGATAGATATATACTGATTGTCTGTTATTTCTGTGTTTTATTCCATCGGCTGTATTGATTACACTGGCTTTGATCTGAAAATTGTTGCCGGTTGTTCTGTTCTTCATCGTAATCTTGAATACTATTATTAGGTATCAAAAATGTGAAAGAAAAGACAAAAATCAAAATTGTTCTCTGTAATCGTTTCTATTGTAAAAGCCAGTATATCTTAGTTGCAGTTTGTACATCTGTTTTACAAACCACGCCTCTTTTGGGGAGAAATTAATGAAGATCGAATGTTCGAGTTTTATGAGTAGCCATATGTACAAAATATGTACAATACTGCAAGAAATTTTAAAATGTCACGCCCACTGAACCCTGACCCCTAGAACTGCCATGAAAATCTGGTTGACGGGAAAAGTCAGTCATGCAGTTTGTCCGGCAAATATTTCATTGCTGAAATTATTTCGGATGATACAAATAAAGACTGAAGCTAACGTTTGCTACTTTTTTGTAGTGACATCGGGAATGAAAAAAAATCTCCTGCTTAGCCCCAGTTGAACATTTTTTGAACAGATAATACTACAATGCATCAATTATGTTTACTAATGTAGATATACAGAAAGAGAGTTAAACACATTTGAACTGTCACTGTCAAATGTAGGTTGGCTGATAGATAAGACATTTCGCCTGCAACATAATCATGTTTATATGTACATTCACTTCCGAAGATTTAAAAAAAGTATATATAGTGTTATACTCATCTGTCTGCTTAAACGCACTTGTTAATTTTATTTGATTGTTTAATTTTTAATTTTCTTTACGTCTCATTGTATATATAGGATCAATAAAAAGCAATTATATTGTTCTTTATTTGGTACATGTAGACGTGCAATAACATTTTTAAGTCGTTTTTTTTTTAACCCGAATGATTAAAATAGTATTAAAAACTTGTGTGTGTATTCAAAATCTGTAACAGGTATTCTACGCCAATAGCAGCATTTTTGCACTGTTCTTACCAAATTATTATTTATGATTTTTCTCTATCAATACATCTGAATGTTTATTAGGCTAAGCTGATATATTTAATTCCTCATCAACGTATTTAAGGATTCCAAAAAGTAGTATGATAGAACAGTGTTTAAGTTGCTCGCTTTACCGACCAAATACACTCAGCTTAGGTTAAGGTATTTAAGATTCTTAAAATTTGTATGATAGAGCTACATTTTCAGGTTTCCTCACATAATCATACCAAATTATAAGCTTATTGTCTTCGAGTAGTTTTTTTTCTCTCCATATGATTAACGTTTTGTCAAAACCAAACATATATATCAACATCGAAATCGTTGTATTAAAATATTATTAAAAGTTGTATGATAATATCATATTGTGCATCTCCTGTAATCGTGCTTAATCACAAACTTTATAATAATTCTTACATAGCAATCAAAGGATGGGATAGTTGTAAAATAATAAACTACTGACAGGTGCTCTATTGTCATCACTGACATCTGTTGATAAACGTGAACGTTGTATGAACTTCTGAGTACATGTAAGGTACATACAATCGTGTGTATCCTATGTAGATTAAACCAAACTACAAAAGTGGTTTTATATTTCATTACGGACTCTGCTCTTAATTTTATTTTTAAAGAGTTTGTCTTTTTATTTCACACCATCAGACTTTACAGATTGGTTTTTTTTATCATAACATTAGAAATGTCATGGGCATAGGATCTTGTCCGATAATTATCTTGAGGTTCTACACAGTTATTTTTTTACCACATAGTTTGATATTTCGCGTATGAAAACAAACTTAGTGTGATATGAACTAATGATGCATACCATGCATACATTCCGTTTTATTGTTTGTTAAATCCAGTATTTTAATAAAAATAATGGCCAACGTAGATACAATTATCTTATCTTAGGGTGGAATTAATCCTATTTTGTAAAAAAAACAAACCATAAACACTCTGATTCAAACAAAAAATTCCCTGAAATTGATTTAATCAAGATGCTTGCCTACTTGTTCTTTTATTCATATAAAGCTGACTTCATAAATGAACTTCTTAAGAAGAAAGGAAAGAAGTTAGCAGTATCTTTTAACTAGATTTCCAGCTATCTCTCACTAAATAATTCAAAATTTGTTGACTATGTTGAACATGTGTGTTGAACGCTACTATCCAATCGAACTTGAGATAAAGGATACAACATATACAGTTTAGGCCGCCTCGTATATTGAATTACATCTAAAAATTAACAAAGAGTGCCGGTTAAAAACAAAACTTTAAGACAAAAGAGATGATTATGCCTCCCTAATTGTGAAAAGTAATATAACAAAAATACCGAACTCCAAGGAAAATTCAAAACGGAAAGTCCGTAATCAAATGGCAAAAACAATAGCTCAAACACATCAAACAAATGGATAACAACTGTCATATTCCTGACTTGGTACAGACAAAATGGTGGATTAAACCTGGTTTTACAGCTAGCTAAACCTCTCACTTGTTTGACAGTCGCATAAAATTCCATTATATTGACAACGATGTGTGAACAAAACAGACAGACATAATAGGTAAAAATGCAAAAACGAAAGACAAGAATACAAAAATTTACCATAGCACAACACAATGACGGGATGTACAGGTACCAATCCACGTCAAATGGATAT